TAGTTCCGGTAATCACACTAGCTAGGTCTGTTAATAATATAATTTAATTGTTTATAACAATCATGTTTGAGAAATGCTAGTAAGATAATTATTATTTTAACGTGATAATATTCTTTAGGCACAAAAGGTTATGTTCTTATGAATAATCCGCTTTTAATTTATTTATTTATATTTTATTTTAATTTTCTGAGTTTGTTCTTATGGAACATGTATTTATTCGTGTGTTGAATTGAATTTATATTGCATAAAGAATCTCATAAAACTGGTAATATTCATTTACGATCAATTTTAGTGATTCTGGGGAGTTTTAACAAGCAATTGTCCAAAAGTTTATAGTGTGATTCATGAAAATGGGGCTTAAGCTTGAAAGGGTACCTTAAGGCAGCCATGTTCTCTAGATTTGTGTCTACTACTTTAAGAACGCGTGCTCGCATCAACTGAGTGATTGTTGTGACAGTTAATCTAAGGTGTGATTATTTATTCTTATATTGTTTTCAGGTGTTGTGCAATATGGATGGAAATCGAAAAATTTATGCGGCTGGATTATAGCGGTGATTATACCGTCAGACGTGATAACACGCCGCGGCGGCGTTACGGAGTGGCAGGGGTAGCGACGGCAATCGCGAGCGCCGAGATGGTGCGGCGGAACGGTCGGATTATGGCGTCCCGACGCGCGACGCCGCGATTGCGTTCGGCGGTCTTCGGTAGCTTTTGGCATCGCTCGACGCTTCGAGACGGTTGCCGCGGTAAGTCCGTTCGCGGACTTCCTATCATTTACAAAGGTATTAAAAATAAGGTGGGCACACCGTGCCCGTTTCTCGCCCGGCAGATGGTCGGCCGGGCGGTCTCGACTTGATGTTCAGCCGGAATGATGCGTATTACAGGGCGCATCGTTACAACATCATGTATTAATATTGAATTACCCAAAGTCGCGTTGGAAGCATTGAAACAAAAAATCATGCTTTTCACGAAGACTTTGAAGTCAAAATGGATAGCTAGCCATTACGTTTACAACAAATTTATTACAAAGAGTGAAAATTGGTTAAATTGTGAATTTTCTTTTCCGAACAAAGTACAATACTAAATTTAATTCCTACTGTTTGAGATCGTGCAATTAGTACGGAAAATCGCTTCATGTCAGGAAGTAGATATAAGATATTCAGAAATGCTCGCGCAACATGTATGCATGCAGGAAGGGCGGTCGAAGAGATAAAATCTCCACCGTGTCATCTTAATCGCATTGCAAAAAGCTTCTTCAATATTAAATTTGTCAGTATAGCATAGACCTTTCTATCGTTCGTATTCCAGAAAGTTCGCTAATTTCCAGCAATAACATTGCCACAGCTGACCGAGTGCACGAACAAAGTCAAGCTACCGTTCTCATACAATAGAAAAATCCATGCTATAAACAAAACAAGCGCAAATAGGTAACGATCCTCGGATCATCACGTGCAAACGGTGACGTCAGCGCGATGACGTGGGCCGCCGATGGCCAATCACCCTCCCGAAATTCGTGGAAATTGGCCTGGAGGGAGTTTCGCCTTGGAGGTGATAAAAACACCGCCACTGCGCCGTGGGATCGATTTCGCTCGCAGATCACCGCTAGTACACCACCTAGTATTTCGATACAACCGCTTGCACTCCGCTTAAACCGCTTTTCGCAAAGATATCCGCACTCGCTTAACCGTTCGCCGCTTTGCCGTGCTAAATTCTGTGCTAAATATCCGCACTCACGGCACGTTGCCTGAAAAAGAACCCGTGTAAATAACTGTATATATTTAGTGAAATAGACATTGCTTATTTTTGTGTAAATCTGGACTTGCTGTTTCTCTTTGTTCCTTGTGGTCGTCTCGTTACCTCGCGCTACACCGCGCTACTGCGCGCTCTCGAACACCTACTTCTTCCCGTATACGTATGCCTCTTAATAGATCAAAGAGTTTTGTAGAATGTTCCGAACGACATAAAAGAAAGAGAACTGAGGAAGTACGGAATAATCCGGAAATGATATAATATATAATTAATATATAATTTTATCCAGAGACATCTCGAACACACATGTCAAAAAGATTATAGACAATTCTGTGAAGAAATTGAAAATGGAACAGATTTAATTGATAGAGATACTGCATTAAGTACTTTTATTTCTGCAAAATTAACACGCTATCAATATAATATTATTCGTGACGTCACCAAATTTAGATTCAGAGCACTACTTAATTATTATCAAATTCAATTATCAAAAAAAGATTGTTTTCCACAGCGAGAAGCGATAGAAATTTCTGAAATAGGTGTTAAAGTCTCTCTACAAAGTCTTTTGGATCATACTGCTTTTAGATTCATTAAACTGCTACGTTCTCGTTTAAGTGCATCTGCTGGACCCCGCACAAAACCACGTGAAAAAGCCGTTCATACAAATTGGCTAAAACTGTGGGAATCGGTAGTTTATGTGATGCTGATAAAAAGTTCATATGGGCGCGAAGTTCGAAAATGGCCAGTTTTCAAGATACAAGAGGTCAAAAGTTGGGAATATGGCCAACAGATCTAGCTTACATGGGTTATCTACGCACGCATCGACGGCACTCATTGAGACGGAACTTGTTCCGCATTGAGACGGGACTTGTTCACAGGATGTGTGAAGACTGTCAGGATAAGCAATAGCTACGCAACATTCGTGCAGCTAATATGGCCCAGTTACTCATACGGCCAGATCGAGTATATGGCTCTTGGCTTGCGCTACCTGTTTTTAGCGCTATCCAGGATCAACGGCGTGGACGTGACGGGTGTTTGATCCCTTGTGTGTGTGTGTGTGTGTATCTGTGTGTGTATTTGTGTGTGTGTTTGTGTGTGTGTATTTGTGTGTGTGTGTGTGTGTGTGTGTGTGTGTGTCACAGCAGAGATAAGAACTCCGCAGCTCGTCATTTTTGCAGTATTTAAATGACTCCAAACCCTCTCTGCTGTGTGTGTGTGTGTGTGTGTGTCTGGCTAATACCTCTAATACTTTTTCTTTGTTTGGTCGAAGTATTCTTATTCGTTTGCAAGGAAAGGTTCAATTATCTCGATCTGGTTAATGTCCATAGTTACATCTAACACACTTCGCAAAACGTTGATTGAGGGATACCGCACATTCAGTTCATGTCGGGCATATCCCATGTACCAGAGGATAGATGCTACATGGGCGCACGTCCCTAGGATCCTAGCTCCGGCTTTACAGGTGCAGTAATAACCAAAAATAGGATCCTCTCTGTTATCAACGTCGAAGTTGTTGTAGTCATATTCCTCGTTGAATGCAATCCACGATGGATGTTGCGCAGCATTTCTGAATCGAGAAGAAACCCTTATCCTCATAAAACCTGGTTCATTAGTATTTTGGTCAAGTTCGAGAACCCGCTCTTCTTCTTCCTCCTTTTCGTCTTCTTGTCCAGTTCTCAACGAAGTATCCTGGATGTATGCTGGTGATAGATTGACTTGATATGTTCCGTAGGTTAATTCTCGCAAGTATTCAATAGTCAACCGTGGAAACAATGGCATATGCGCTGCGGTTAACATGACCCATCGTGCTCGTCTCCGTCTGAGATTTTCCGCCTTTATTCTTGCTTCCACGACATTGGCTTCTCAAGTTTGATATAACATTTTTTCAGCTAAATCAATATTTGCGTGCGGCATTGTAATCGGTCCGTAATATTTAATTATAATAGCTCCGGCAATGCGGAGAAAAGCATTCAAATTCGGAATATGAGATGTGTGTATGGTATTTGCAAAGAACTTAAATATATTTTTTAGATGGCCATTTCGTGCTTCCACTATCCATCTCGTCTTCGTCACAATACGTGCCTCATTTGCCTCTTTAGTTGTAAATTGATTCTGATTAGACCCGAGAAGAAGTGGCATTCTCGGGTCAATGCCAAGTCTCTGCAGGGTTGGGATAGCATCTCGGTACCCACAATCAAGAATAAATATGTCTTGTGGTTGAAACCACTCTCGCATTCCTTCAAAATCTGAAATAAACTCATTCAAGAGAATCTTGGCATCATTATTTGCTGCATTTGAGAAGTAGGGTCCTTGAATATTTAACAAATAACCGTCTGGAGCCACAAACATAGAAGGTTTGACCAAATGTTTGCTTTTATGGACGCAGTATAATTGGCGCAATACTTTAAAACACGAACTCTTCTCAATGTCTAAATAAGTACAGTCATTATAGACGATCACTTTTGAATTTTGTGGTGTTCCGTTATACAAACGGTTGGAGAAAGCTGTTACATGTCTTTCTATGTAATCGTCTCTTGTGATGGCTCTAAAACCTATATTTTCACCAACAAAGCGTCCCATCAGAGATTGTCTAACCGTACATATCGCAAGGCTTGCAGCTTGTCTGGAAGTATAATGAAATATCACACATAAGAATTCGTCACTAAGGCCTTGTCGCAACTTGCAAAGAAAACATAAAAGATCTTTCTTGCTCACATAATGATATCCTTCCGGTACTGGAACAGGATCACAGTAAGAGAAAAGATCAATAAAGTGTTCCTTAGAAATAGGAAAAATTGCCCTGAACTCCTCATCCGTCAAACCATTTTCGTCTTCGTATCTACGCTGAGTCGTATGAGTTATTTCTTCACGTAGTGCTCCTAAAAATGCCTGTAATTTTTGTCC